AGCGGCGAATTCCACATTTTCATCACTCTCTGCATAAAGTAGCATTTCCTTTTGTCCGTCCTGAACCTACTGCCCGTCAGTTTCATTGGATGGCCTCACACTGTAGTATTTTGGGAGGGTGGGAAAAATCTCTCTTTCGTCAGCCCTCTGCACCTCGTGAATTATTTTATAAACCTCTATCACGTCCCCCCCCCTTTAGTCGTCTCTTTTCTAAACTGAAAGGTGCCCGGCTCTTCAACCTCTCCTCATAGGGAAGGGGCTCCAACCCCCGAATCATCTTGGTCGCCCTGGTCTGTACTTTTCCCACCGCCACGCCTTCCTAGCCGTCGGCCGCGTAGGAGGCCAGCGGTCGACGGTCTAGTTTGAGTTCCACCCGGTTGCCTTCCCCAGCCCTGTGCCGTAAGAGCCAGCCATTCAGAAAGCAGAGAACAGGTACGGGAGCTCCATCCCAGCTCATGGCTGCCGCTACCCGTGGGAGAAGTCTGTCATGGCAATCTTTTTTTTTTTAAAGCTGCCCCCCAACCCATGGGACTTACGTATGCACAGCTTGTTCACACTGGCCTGGATGCTATTGGGAAATGCCCCCCCAAACCTATAACATCCAGGCACCTTCCAGGTCCCCTCCGTCTTTCCCAATTCTGCAGGGCCTGTAAGGCAGAGATGTCCCGCCAGGATTTTGGTTGAGGCCAGCAACGGTTTTCCATCATAGCTGGCACCGAGGCTCCCTCTAAGCTGTGGAGTCTCGTGAGCAAAACTCCTACTTGGTGAGCGACTGGCATTAAAGTGGTGAGCGAGCCGTTTGGCTGCCGCATATATTAGTTTGCTCTGGGGCCGTCCTTCCTGAGCGGAGGCAAGAATGTGTGAGCCGGAGGCTTAAAAAACGGTGAGATAGCTCACAATAGAAGAAGAGGAGGAGGAGGAGGAGACTGGATTTATACCCCGCCCTTCGCTCGGAGTCTCAGAGCGGCTTACAAACTCCTTTCCCTTCCCCTCCCCACAACAGACACCCTGTGAGGTGGGTGGGGCTGAGAGAGCTCTAGACAGAAACTGCTCTTTTTCAAGGACTCTTATCAGAACTACGGCTTGCTCAAGGTCACCCAGCCAGGTGCAAGTGGAGGAGTGGGGAATCAAACCTGGCTCTCCCAGATTAAAAGAAGAAGAAGAGATTGGATTTATACCCCGCCCTTCACTACCCCAGAGGAGTCTCAGAGCGGCTTACAAACTCCTCTCCCTTCCCCTCCCCACAACAGACACCCTGTGAGGTAGGGGTGGCTGAGAGAACTCTTGACGGAAACGGCTCTTTTTTCAAGAACAGTTCTTATCAGAACTAAACTCTAGTTCTCTAGGACTCTAATCTGTGGAGGAGTGGGGAATCAAACCTGGCTCTCCCAGATTAGAGTCCGTACACTTAACCACGACACCAAACTGGCTCTCATTATGGTGCTATAACGTTATTTCAATTCAAAAAGAAGCCCTTTGGTGATACAGGGGGCTGGCTTCTGAGAAAGACTGGGGCAGGGGAAACATGGGGAAACTGGCCACATGGAAGGCCTATTACTGCTGTGCTGTATTGGTAGCCACATCAGCAACGGGGAAACCACACAAGCCGGTCTCCATGTGGAAAAGACCTCAGCTGTGGCTTGTTTCGGCCAGTATCTGGGAATTAATGGTCACACACAAAAACTGGGTTTCTAGGTGATGCAACCCCCCCCCCCCCAAAAAAAAAGAAATCTTGGTACAAGTCTCCGCAGGAGAGAACATTCTCTGATTTATGGAACATCTCTGTGATGGAGTGAAATTCACTGACATAACCGTTATTCAATAAAGAAGTTAATTGCTCCTTGGGGAACATGCCTTGCCGAACTGCATCCGGTCTCCAAAGGTCCCAGTTTCTGCCCCCGTCTTGTGGCCTATTATCATGAGAATTACTGTCTTTTGTGGTGCTTTTTTCATTTTTCATACAACACTTTTAAAAGCTCGTTCCTTAAACTTTGGGAGCCAATGCGCAGAGGATAATTGCAAATCAATATCTGTCATTGCAGCAAACCACCTTTATGGTTCCCAAATAAAAATTCGACACTGGCACCAATATTATAGAAATCCCTCCCTGAGTCCCAACTGGGCCATTCAGTCAAGGTCTTCAAGCCGATATCGGAAACCTTTCTTTTCTCCCCTCCCCAGAGGTTTTGAGGCAGCTGTTGAGCTTCATGGGTTGCCACTGTAGGTAAAATTGGATTTATTTTTTTTAAAAAAAATTGTCATATTTTTTAAAGTAGTTTTTAGGTTTGGAGAGCACGTTCTTTCTCTTTTCTGTCTTGCTCTAAGCCACCTTGAGTACCGCTGGGTGGAAGGATGACATGACTTTGGACCCTGGGGTACATCTCCGCTGGAGGAACGGTTCTCCATCAGCGGAATAGGGTGGAACACAGAGGAAATTGAGAGCCAGTTTGGTGTAGTGGTTAGGAGCCCGGACTCTAATCTGGGAGAGCCGGGTTTGATTCCCCACTCCTCCACATGCAGCTGCTGGTGTGACCTTGGGTCAGTCACAAGTTCTCTCAGAGCTGTTCTCTCAAGAGCAGTTCTCGAAAGAGCTCTCTCAGCCCCACCTACCTCCCAGGGTGTCTGTTGTGGGGAGGGGAAGGGAAAGGAGTTTGTAAGCCAGTCCGGTGTCGTGGTTAAGTGCGCGGACTCTAATCTGGGAGAACCGGGTTTGAA